CAGTCCCACCGTCTTACCCCTGGCAGATGGCTGCGTCATTATCACTCACCTGTAAGCTTGCACACAAACACCGCAACTGAGGCCACACGACACTCACAGGTGTTTGCGTGAGAACTTACAGGTGTTTCTTACTAAAATAGCGCAGGTTGCAAGACTGTGCCCTTCAATTTATATGTTTATATTACACTAAAACTTATTGGAGAAGAGTAAGAGAATCAAAAATCATCTTATGGGAAGAAGAAAAATGAAATACTAAGAAACAAACGAAAAGAATGTATGAAAATTCACATTTTAGAAACTGAGATATACGTTAAAACATATTTTCATTTAGAAAAACCATATCTTTGTATCTAAATAGCTACAAAGAATGCCTGGATATCTTCCTCATGGTTCAGTGGCAAAGACTCAGGCTACAGACGCTTTGATAATAAACTCTTTCTCGTTAGCACTGCAGGGCTTTATGCATTATTAAAATGTGACTAATCTGTAAATGCCCTGACAGCAGTGAAACACTGCCTTGAGTGTGGACCAAGTGAGCTGCCATTTGGAATAACACTAGAATTCAGCACAGGGTACACATCAGAGTAATTCAGGACGGAATCACTTGGCACCCTTGGAATGAACCTGAAACACTAAAGACAGACTAATTCATTTGGGAAATAAAAATGTAATCACCCTCTCCTGCATCTGTTGCAACAATTCTTTCTGCAGCAAAACTTACACTTGTACCAAGTTTGTGGAGTATTATTGCTGTCATTACTTTTATAATTATCTATATGAAAAAATTCTTATCTATAAAATATTCTTTCATTTTGAAATATTTCATTTTTTCATACCATGGAAACTGATTTTAGTAGGATTTGTGACAAAGAAGTATACAATCGTTCAAAAAATATTATCCCAAGAGTAGAAATAAAGAGAAATCAATACAGGGAAATAGCTGAAAAGGTAACTGTGATGATCTGTGAAACTGTTTTTTTCTTTATGCTTTACTGTATTTTCTACATTGTCTAAAACGAAGATGCCTAAGTTTCATCATTGGAAACACAAATATGATTAATTTTTAAAGAGGCTGGGGTAAAACAAGATAAGAATGTCAATGCTTGTAAAAGATTGTGAAAGCTAATGTGCACCTTGGAAATGGTAAATGCACAGATCCTTCCAGAAATTGCATGACTTCAGATCCAACTACCTTCCAGGGCTACATAGCCACAAATCGCCCAAAGATAGGTTCCCCTTCTGCAGCACAATGAACTTCCTTTGTCAACGAGTGCAAAGCATCTTTAACTGAATCCAATTTCAGAAACATAAAGTATCACGGATATAAACTGAAACCATCCAACAAATGGCTTCACAATGCCTAGTGCTAACTATGAAAAAATAAAGAGTATCATTCTATTTTTCCATAGCTCATATTTTTAAACCATTACTGATTTCTGAAATATACACCTGTTATCTAAACTTCTCTGGCTAGGTCAAGCTTTGTCAAACAGGAAGCTGAGGGCTGGGTTATTTTTAAAGTTTTATATCAGGCTCACACACTCCCTCTCAAACGTTCTAAGCCTAATCCCGCCAAATTTCCTAGGTGAAATTCCTATTCTCTCCCTTCAGCAGTATCTGCCTGAAGCGCATACACACACGTATGCTGAAATCCAGAGATCCTCAGAGCCTCCCTCGGGCTGTGTGCTTACTGGGGTGCCTGTTAACGTGACAGTCCCTTGTCATGGATTATTTCATTTAATCCTGGCAACAGCTGAAAGGGGCAGAAATTATTATATCAACTTTAAAGATGAGAAAATTAGGCTCTGAAGTAATCCTGGCTCAGGGTTACTCAGCTAAGCAAGGCCAGTCCACCCTTTTTTTTTTCCCCCTGTCATTTATTATCAAGTACCTACAATGTACCACATGCTGCTCTAAACAGAAAAATAAAGCCCATGCTCCTATGGTCACCAGATATTTGGAACATACTTTATAATAAAAAAGTCACACGTTGCTTTTGCTTAGCAGAAAAGCAAATGTAACTGGGTATCCTGGATTTGTATTTGTTAAGTCTGGTGATCCTACCTGTCACTGTCCACCATGCCATCTGACATGCTAGTGTGACTCAGTGGCCAGTCCAATCGCTCCCAGCAGGGCTGAGCTGGGACCATGATGACATAAGATGGATGGAGATCTCCAGGGTCTCTGGAATAAAGACTTCAGGGATACTGGGGTGGAGACCCCCAGAGACACTGGGATATAGACCTCCAGGGACATTCAGATGGAGAGATCTAGGTACCCTGGGATTGAGACCTTTTAAGGACACTGGGATGGAGACCTCCAGGGACAGGTGCCCCTTGGGAACAATTTCCAGTTGCTGTCTCCAGCCAGGACAGGAGCACAAAGCATTTCTTCACAATCCCCAACCAACTCTGTGGCATCTCACATCCCTTAGGAAAATCTTGAGCCACGGACCAAAAGCCAGCCACCTGCAGAGTATGAGGTTCTGGACTATTCACACAGCACTGAGGACCTCCATAGATAACAGAGAGTTTTTTGAGTCAAGCTCATGGAAAAACCTTTTCCAAAGTTCTTTACAGATGAGTGAGGGATGCAAGACTCAGCAGTACTAGTTGGGATCACGTTCGTTCCTGTTCCCCCAGTAAGAGGCCTCTTCCACTTGGCTCGTTTTCCCCAAGGGTGACCTTTGGGAGGATACAGCCTGCCACTCCCTCATGCCCTTCGTCAAATTCAGGTATCTGGAGTAAATCTGTTACGGTTCCAACTCCCTTTTCCCTAAGTGAATATCCAGATATAGGGGGCACTTATACAAATCAAGTCCTGGAAATAAATATATTGAATCAACAATTATCCTTGAGCATCTACAAAGAGGAGAAAACTGTGCTATATTCTAGAAAAATAAAGAAAAGACAGGCATATCTCCTACCATTTGCTAAGTCATCATCTGATAAGGGGGTGACAACTGTCAAGAAATAATGCAATACCCAGTGCTAAGTGCGATAATAAAAGCAGAAGTCATGTGTGCCAACAGGACCATAGGGCAGGGAATGTGGCAGCCCAGGTGCGAGGGAGGTCCCTTGCTCCAGGTCCCCACTACAAGTTGGAGTTTACCAAGCAGGAAATTTGGGGTGGAGATGGGTGAGTATATAGTTATTATTCAAGAAAAAGGAAAAGGGGTCACCAAATCCCAGAAGCAAGAAAGAATGTATTCTGCAGGGGACACCTGTGTCTGGGAACGATTCCTTGTTGTTCTTCTCAAGAACATGTCTGTGGCCTTGCACGCAAGTCCAGAGCACCCTAACCCTGCAAACAGGAGGGGCTAGAGAGTTTAGATGCAAACATCTGCTTGCCGGAGACGAAACAACAAGGAACTGGGACGTGTTGAGTTGGGACCGTGTGGGAACAAAGAACTTGCGGTGGGACAGTTGCCAAACAGCCTATATTATAAATAAAGCAGTTACAGCGAGAGTTTTTGCTGCAGCCTCATACTGTCTTTGTGGTGTCTGTGTCTTTTTGTAAGGGCTGCAGTCACGTGTCCGCATCTTTGCGTCTCTGTGTTCATTCCTCGATCTCAAGTCGGGCCACGTCAGTATTCCACAGTTGTAAGCAACACAAATAATTCCACATGCCTGAACTATGCGAGAAGGAAAAAGGGTGAGTCCGTAGGGGTTGGGAGACCACAGCAGAGGGGCTGATGGGCCACACCAGAGAGCCAGCATTTATCAGGAGCTACTGAAGGTGGGCATTTTACAAAGTTGATATTGGCTGTGTTGTACAGAAGAAGAAAATCTGGAGACCAGGAGACCAACCTAAAACCTCTGCAGCATACAGCCCAAACTCTGAGTGGTGAAATTTGAGAGAGCAGCATCAGAACCGCCCAGTACTCCCAGTGGACCACAGTCAGGAAAAGTGTGCCCCAAACAACTCTGTCCAATCCATACTCGCTGTCTCCTCACAAACGTCAGAAGAGGTGCGGGCAACTTGATCAGTGACACGAACTAAGCCAACTTCTATCTATTCATTTAAACTTACAACCATACATCGTAATGTCTTCAGGTGTTAAGGAGATGGACAAGGACTCCTTAAGATTTGAAAGCAAAAGCCATGATTCTAGAAACTGTTCAATGTCTGTCTAGAGTCCCCAGAGAGTAAGCTAGATGTAGCTTCACTCCAGGTTATGTGGGAATTGCAAAGAACTGTAGCTAGGAAACGTGTATTTTATAAGCTAGTAAATTTGGCTGAAAAAGACATGAGCACTCCACTGCCCAATGTGTCTTCTTTAGATGCCAGAAGAATCCAAATCTACAAATGGCCTCTTTCTTCAAGTTTAATGTCAATTCTCCTAAGAGATACATATAACGGGAAACAACTCAAAATCTGCCCCAATCATTTTCCAGTGGCCTCATCGCCAAATATGGATGCAGGTGACCTGGATATAGAAACACGCACCCTTAAGAGACAGAAATGAAAATGATAACTTCCTTGAATTTTCAAGTTACTGGCAACTGGCCTAATCAAGGTCACAAGGAAAGGTGATGAAGGGTCTCTTGATCTCTAGAAATCTACTGAAGAAGACAGTGAGAAGCTAAGCTTGTGATTTCTGGAGTCAAACTGCCTGGGTTTGAAAGCTGGGTCCATCTTTTATTAGGCGTATGCCCCTGGGCAATTTATTTCTCTCCTTTCTTCCTCAGTTTCCTCATCTCTATGACAGGGATATTGATAGTACCTACCCCTCAGGTTTGAATGGAGAAACAAACGAGTTAATTGATGTTAGCACAGTTCCTGCCACCCAGTGAGGGCCCCATCCACGCCTGCCCCACAGAGTAGCCATCCTCCCATCCGTAGGAGGACACTGTTGGACACTCGTGCTCTCCTGCATGCTTAGAAGAAATGATGTTATTCAGCACTCTTCAACTTTGGCAGAGAAGCTCAGGTGTAACTATACAGATGTAAAACGAAGTCCAAAAATATCTTCGGTGGCAAAACGTAATATCTCTCACCTTGCTCCTACAACAAGTTCTTTCTGTCCTGGGTCAAATGTTAACTGCGAGAAATCCACAGCATTCTTCGCTCGGAACTCCCGTAACCAGGGGCCAATTTCTAAACAGAAAAAATAAATAAAAAGATAAAAATGAATGATTTTTCCTCTGGGGACCACAGAGAGTGCACATCAGGTAGCAAACGTTACATTTCAGAGAGGATTTGGGGGTCCCCTGACTCGCTTGTTCAGGGGCCACTGGAGGTTTTCGTCAAGATGCCACATGATCCACACTGAGCATGTGTGAGACACAGAGGGTGTGACCATCCGATAAAGATCAAGTGAAACATCAGTGCTCAGAGGTGATTTACAAGCCACATGTGCATTTTCCTTTTGGCTCTAGGCTGGGCAGAAAATAACACGGGATTCACGGGATTCACCAGAGGAATACTGAATGCAAACAGAGCCATTTCCTGTGCAACTGGACTGGAAAGAGCTGAAGACAAAAATTACAAAAGCTCTCCTTGGGAGCAAAGACCAAGCACACGAGCACCATTTGCCTTCTTTCAAATTAGACATCCCATTTCCCTGTCCTGTGGGTTTCTATTTTGGCCCCATGATTAGACTTGTTAAACACATTCAGTCCTTTCTAGATGAGAAATCCACAGTTACTTCTAGGCCTCATTTGCATTTTTCTCTAAGGGAAATCAGGAAATAGCCACTCTATAGAGACAGGTTTTTACAAGCACTGTTAACTCCTATTAGACAGCCTCTAGCCCATAGTCCCATTATTATAAAATGACATTATTTAAAGAAAGACAGAATGCTACTTCATGAGGCATTTTTGCAACTCTCAATAGCTTATTTCTGACACCAAAAAAATACTCAGTGAGTTATCTGTCAGTTGTGGGATACCTTACCATTATCCTTGACAATTTACCATGTTATCTGATTGTGTTTATTTCTTGGATTTAGTATTTTGAATAATATCAGACTGCCTAAACAGGAAGGTGACAGCTATCAAATCAATAAAGTTATTGGTTTGAGGGAAAAATATGTAGAACAGGGAATAATCTCTTTTGACAAACACTAATGCTAGACACAGATCTAACAGGGAAACATGCTCCTGTCCCACACCATGTCCTGTAGAAATAGCTTTGCAGATGTAAACAGGATGGATCACTTTTAAGGAATAGCTCTGGATAATAAATGTGTATGTTCTCTACTATCAGTTATTGGGGAAAATGATATCATTTTCTGCTTAAAGGAAATCAGGGCTGAGCTACATAGAGACCTCAAATTTTAATGTGTATTTTATCTTGATTCATTTTTAGTATTTTATATAAATTTCTTCATTTTTATAGGCAAGTCAATTAAAACAAAATATTTATAGCAAAGTATATATGAGGCACTGGAGCTATAAAAAGTAATTAATAAATGATCCTTCTAGGAGTGTATGATTCAGTTAGAGAAATAGCACTAATACTTTCTTTAAACATAATATCTATAAATACAAGGTGTTTATAAGTGTTACAGGATTGTAGGAATTATTCATACATAGAAAGGAGAGATGACTATGAGTTTAGATAAAAGAAAAGGAAAGATGTGATCAGATTGACATCTACAAACGGCCTCTTTCTTCAAGTTTAATGTCAATTCTCCTAAGAGATACATATAATGGGAAACAACTCAAAATCTGCCCCAATCATTTTCCAGTGGCCTCATCGCCAAATATGGATGCAGGTGACCTGGATATAGAAACACGCACCCTTAACAGACAGAAATGAAAATGATAACTTCCTTGAATTTATCAGGATAGGTCAGATGTCCTAGCAGGACAATGCATGAGTGACATGGGAGACCATGGCACCCCTGTGGCCCCAAGTGGTATAGCTCATCTTCAGGGATGTGTTCATCCCTGGGGACGACAGAACTTGCAGAGTCTATGTCTGTGTCGCTCCCTGCAGTGGACGCAGCGCAGAGCACGGCGCCTCGAATGCGACAAGCAATGATAGCTGTGAAATGAAAGAGTCATAATGACGAAGTGAATTCAAGAGAGGACAAATTAAAAAGGAAAAGAAGCAGGAAAGAAAGGCAAAGAGAAAAGAAAAAAATAACAGCAACTTAAGAAATGACTAGGAAAGGAAACTGAAAGGTGTATTTAATTATTAGCTGTACAAAAATTTTCTCATAGGTTAAAAAGTCTGGACTTGATCTCAGCTGTGATAGCAAAGCTTTGGAAAGTTTCCAGGCAAGCCTTTGACCCATGTAGCCAACATCTTAGGAATCCCAATGAACCACTGATTAGCAGGATGGTTTGGAAAGAGTATAGAATAGAGGCAAAAATATTAAATTCAAAAAAAAAAAAACCTAAAAACCATAGCATTCAGGTGTTGGCTATGAAAATGGAAAGGGAGGGTGCACAGGGAGGGTCTGATTGGCCACATCACTGACTGGAGGTGAAGTCAAGGGTAACGAGTGAAAGGGAACAAAGCAGCTTCCAGATTAAATGAAGGGAGCAGAGATGACTGAGACGCAGGTGTCAGGAGATTAGGGTGGATTTAGAGAAAGACAATGGGTTCAAGTGCAACCATGAGAATGTTATCATGAAAAATTCCCAAGGGCAGGTTAGCTCCAGAGCCATTGTTAAGCATCACTGAGACCAAGAAGTGCCCATATAAAGACATTCTGGTTCAAAAGCTTCATCATTCACATGGGAAATGCATGACCAGGGAGTCCTATGGGGACAAGAGTCCAGGGCTCCTGAGCACCTGTTGAGGGCTCTGTTCCCCACAACTCAGGGCCACCAGGGCTGGGAACCCATGCAACCTGCAGACTGTGTGGGGGCAGAACAGAGGGCTGAGGGCTGACCTCCCACTAGGGGAGAGAAAGATGAGCCATGCATGGGGAGAGAGCACTATGAAAAAAGATAACCCAAGACAGTCAGGTCCCTCATTTCCCACGCACTCCTCTTTCTTTAGAGAGTGGCCAACAGGAACCAGGATGAAGAGACATATTTCAGGCTTTGGTTCCTATACTGAACAATAGGAAGGACGTTAAACTACTTCCTAAAATGCCCTTGAATAATAAAAGGAGCCATGTACAGAGGGGAAAAATGAATTAATAGCATATAGTTCTGTCAATACTGTTTGATTTTCCTTATTTAAAATTCTAATGAACTTCCCCAATAAAACTGTATGTTTTTATGGTTAACACTAAATCAAAATTGGGTCATCTGCATAGCCTCTTCTTTTGGATTTTCCTCCAGAAGATCTGCCTATCTCACCTTTGCACATGACATGGACTTCTATAGAAATTACTGATACATGAGGGCCTTGGGAGAAAGTCTCTGCACCAACCCATCTCTAACTAAAAACAAGCTTGCGTCAGTACCCAGCTGTAGATAAAAGTGGCGGCGCTCTACCGCTTTTGAAAGACCAGTCCTCTCAACTTTGCTTCAATCCCATATCTTCTCTTCTCTTTAAATCCTTTCTTAAAGTAACCATTTTTCCCTCTAAAATCTCAAATGTTATCAAATCCCTTTTCCTCTGCCTATAGGAATATGCATATCCCTCACTTTTAAAATCCTTTCAAAATATATTTTTATTATACTTGTTGTTATTACAAACACTCAAACAAAATGCATAATCAACTCCCAAACACAAGATATCAATAAAAATAACAAACTCAGTTTTAAATGTAAGTTTTACCAAATCCTTAAGAAACATATAATCCCAACTTTACACAAGTTATTTCAGATATAGAACTAAAACTTCCTAACTCAGTTTGAAGTTATTATAATCTTAACAATCTTGATACCAAGGCTAGACAAGAAAATGATGAGAAAGGAAACTCACAGGTCTACCTCATTTAATTATATGGCTAAAAGCATTCCTAAAGAAATGCATGTATTAGCAAATGGCTGGGTTTCAAAGCAGTCTAAACCACTCAGCTCTGATATGGGGGGACAGACACTGTACTGCAAATGCAAGAGCATTTTCCTTGAGAAGGCACTTCTGTTGGCAAGGCAGGAAAAGAGGTGTAGGGTATACTCTCCACAGAACATTCTGGAAGCTCTCTTTTCCTGACCTCTTCTCAATTTTTAAAAAGAACCATCCTATCTCAAAGACACCTACTACTCTTTAAAGTTGGCATACATCTCCCTTCTATGGACTTACATAAACCATTCTATCAGTGCAATTTGAGCGAAAACTGTGATTGAAAAACAAGGGGGCGGAACGTTTAAAAGCCATAACAAGAAGAACAGCACAGCAGGTCTGTGCTGGTTCACTACGCTGCGTCTTGCCTGCCACCAGCTTCTCTCCCGTTCCCTGCCAGTCTGCCTTTCCTATTCCTCCAACCACCACGCAGAACAAGGCAAATTCACTTTGAGCAGTAAGTCAAAAGCACCCCCGGGCCATGTTCATCCCTAAAATAAGATACATCAGGCCTTCAGCTACCTGGGCCCTCTCTAAAATTCTTGAAGTGATTATAATAGATTTCAGTCCCAAATCTTTATGTGTTTGTCTAGCGGCAGGACAACGCAAAACACTTCACTAGGGAGGAAACATGTACATTCAAAGACATTTAAGATATGTTTGTGAAAAACATGTATCACAATAACTGGCGTAGCTTATTTGTACTTTTTTTTTCACTGCCTATATTTTCAGGACTTGTTTGGTTTCAGCAATTGTATGAGATATTTTTACATGTTAACTATTTTTTATTTCATTAACCATTTATAATTATGTGAAGCTAGAGCTATAATCTTTGCTATAGAAATTTTTTCTAAAACCCTCAGATTTTGACAAGTTCAACATCTTGCCAAATGTAACATAAATTTGTAAGTAGCTAAGTTGGAATTTAAACCCAGAATAGTACTAAGGCCATATTTGTGTAAGTTCCAAATTAAAAATCAGTTTTCCAAGGAATGTATAAATAACATGAATCTTTAGCACCTAGTCATATATCAGCATGGATTAGTTTATCAGAAATGGTAGTGGCACCCACGAAAGGAGAACAAAATTGGAAAGATGAGAAAGTGGTAATTTCCAGATGGAAGACAGGAATGTTCCAGCCCAGTCTGGGTCCCCGAGAAAAACAGAAAGAAACCAGGGTCCAG